TGCAAAAAGACCCAAACCTACTAGAATTAATGTGCTTTTAGAACTTGCCAGCTCAGGATGGAAAGAAATTGCAAAAGATATATTTCACAAATTTGGTCCGCTATGTAAAGATGTAGAATTTCAAACATTAATAGATTTATTAGATAATTTAATACCTGCTGCTTTAGATGTCTACAGTATAATCTTTTGTTCAGGATCTTGTGATCAGTATGTAGATACAATTTTCAGATTATGGACATTTGCCCTAAGGTGGGAGAGAAAAAATTACAACAAAATTCCATTGGCCTTCCTTTCTGATTATTTCTATTGGAAGGATAATAATCACCCATTTCTTGAAGCCATTCAATCACACCTCGTCAATTTCAATGATTACTATGTTGAAAATTGGCATAGTAGAATTAGAAGAAGTACAACTTCACATCATTCTTCTGATGCCATAATTTCTCAGGCCTTTATATTAGATTCAAATGAACTGACCTTATTTAACTCATTTAGAAAATTTAAAAGCTATCCATATAAGGAATCTACTCTAAATTATTTAAAATATAAAACAAGTTTATTTTTAATTGATTATTTTCATCAAATTTACCAAAATTTAGGAAAAAGTAAAAAAATTAATAATAGAAAGAATGAATATGAATTTGCAACATTAAATGAAAAAGTAAAATTAAAATGCTTACCAGCTGGTTATCATAGCTCTAAAACACCATCAAATAATACTTGTGATTATTGTAATCAAATATTTGTAGTAAAGGATGAACAAGAAGGTATAATGTTGATATGTGGCCATGCTTATCACCATAGATGTTTTGGAGAAAAAAATAATAGATGTGATTATTGTTTGGAATATTATAAAAAAGGCGTTGTCTCGAATGTAAAATCCTATATAAATAGATTAGAAAAAGATAATGTTGTTAATGATAATTTGTTACTTGATGAAATAGTAAATGAAGAAAATGAAGATGACAATAATGATGAATATGAGATAACAGAAGATGAAAGAATATCATTAGACTTCAGAAATGCTTTAGTATCAATAAATAATTGGTAAAATTTTAAATAAACATATTATAAAACAAAAATCTACAATTCCGAGTTTAGAATGTCTTAAATAAATATATAGTCCACTCTCTCTATTATTCTATAACAAACTGCCCAATTTATATATCCTATATAAACTATTACTACTACTGTTTAGTGAATTCTCTTTATAACGCACATTTCTTAAATTGTCTGTAAAACTGTACTTACGTTGATCACTTAAGCTTGGAATATAGCTCCTATGTAACCCTTCAAAAGCGACTTGATCATTTGATCATTTTTCACACACATACTGAAAACATAGAAAGCAAAATATACGCGTTAAAAAAATACATCTCAGGTTAAACAAGTTTTTGTGCGCAGTCACGCGACTTTTTTCTATTCTAAATTCAATTGAAATAGCAAGTTTCACAATATAAAAAAGATCGACAATCGATTTTGTCACATGTGATAAAACGAATGTCCACTATGCTAACAAAAATACAGTAAATTAGTTAATTGTAAAAGAGAGTTAATAAGTAATTACCTTCTGATAAATAAGGTTTTAATCCTATTATTTATGTCACCACCTCAATATATTGGTAGGCATTTAGAAAATATCACTCATATTAACACCTCAATACTATATACATTTTATTATTTGTATTTTTACTTATTCTACAAAGAACTTAGGTGTAATATACCATTTATTTTATCAAAGGGTTACATTGATTAATTGATGATAAATATAAAAAAAACATCTCTTGTTATATGATTATGGAGTATCAAAAATTTAGCCAATCAATTTATATTTTCTTCTTTCTATTTCTACAACATAACCACTCTGTATCTTCATATCCATTCATTAATTCATTTGATAGAGCTTTACAAATTTCATTATAAACTATATCCATTATCTTGCTCAATTTTAAAATACTTCCCAAATACTCTTAACTTTTTTTAAAAAAAATCACTGACATCTTGGTTAAGTTGATTGTTAAATAAGTTGGTATATATATACTACCATGATATGGAATTTAAAAAGAAAGTGTGTAAATTTTTTAAAAGAAGAAATTGCATGCCACTTATTATTCATGATTGTAACATTAAAAACTCCTGTGTAATGACTATTATAAAAAAATTTGTGTAATAGTATTATAGTATTGACCAATATAATTGCAGAATGATTTGCGACATGGTTGTGACTTGCAACATGGTTTGCGACTTGCGACATCGCAACATTTGAATGATGGCTGCGACTAAGGGTTGCAACCATTGTTGTAATACACTAATTTCAGCCAGTATCTTTAATTGAAACCTCAACATGCAGTACAAATAGGACAAGATAGTATATGGCCAGCAAGTGAGAGAGTTTTGCAACAAAAGTTCAAGGAACCTTTAATGAAATGCTTTTGAAAATAAATCTTGCTATAAAATCAAGATTATTAAATTACCCATTAGTTGAAATTGCTTTTCCTTTGGCTGTATAAGAATATTTACCATAATCTTCATGAAGAACAATTTTAGCTTAGAACCATAATCCCCAATATTAAAATCAGATCTTTGACTTTCTACCTTGTCTATAATTAACCATGCTATAATTAGGGTGGAATAACGTTAATCCAGAATTCAACCATTCATCAATCAAGTCATAGGAATGGTATTCATACATCTGTAAATTCCACAATTATTAAACTTTTAAATCAATTAATATTAATATTAACAGTTTATGTCTAGTACAAATGGCCAATAAAAAATCTCAGCAAAGTTCAGAGACAAACTGGTCAACTAAAGAAGTGTTTTGGATTTAAAATATGATGCATTATATCGAATGGCACAATTTTGTGTTTTTTATACATCATCAAGGTTGAAAACTGGATGTGTGTCAATATAGTAGAATTTTATCATGCAAAAGTACTTGCCCAGGGATAAATAATTTTTGTGTTCTTTATGATGCTCTGGAAGTTCTTGCACAAGTGTTCAATATTCAATTATAGACTTTCATTGTTCTTCTAAAGTAATATCCAAGCCTTCATAATGCTATTATTAATAGAATTGTCAAAAAATCAGCTAGATGTTGCCTTGCTCATTTTCATGAGCAACATGCATCCTCCTCTAAGACACTATCTGATCGTACATCAATAACAAGAGTCTCATACACCCATGAAGGTCCCTCCTTTAAGCATGAGTTTTATTCCTAGGTTCACTGAAAAAATTTTGTAACCGTGCTAATACCATCACTTATTGACCATATTGTTTCTTATCTTATTGATTTTCCTACATGTGGCAAGTTCTTTCTTTGTCAAAAAAAAAAATTTAGACTGGCACAATGTCCCCCCATTTGTTTTATTCATTTTATTCGTTTTATTCAAATTATTAATTATCATTACCATTATTGTTGTTATTATCATTACTATCATTATCATTATCATGTCTCAACCAAGAAAAAAAAACAGCTATTAGTGAGCAATTGAAAAGAGAAATTTGTATATATTACCAAGAAAACATTCAGAAAACTCATCAAGAAATTGCAAATTATTTTAGTGAAAAATTTCATTGAATATTGATAGGTCATCAGTAACAAAAACTTTACATGATAAAGAAAAATGGCTAGATGCTTCATCTACAACCCATCATAATACTTTTTGTTGTATACAAGTGAGGTTTCCTGAACTAGAAATAAGCAATGAACATATGGATTGGACAAGTCAATGCAAGTTGCCTAACCATTGTTGATTTTTTTTAAATAATTATTATTATATTTTTATTTTTTTTTTCATGTTTCTTTTCTGATGATCTGCAAGTGTCCTTATATTTATGACTAGTGAGTGTATCACTTAACGAATGGGACATTATAAAACTAATTGTGATGATAATAGTGTGAGATTGTAAACCGTGGACCAACCGATTGACCGTTAATATCGACCAATTAGAACGAACTTACTACGGAAGTCATGCTTAATATGTTTTATAATTTAATTTACAATGCTTGCTTTTATTTTAGTTTGCTATAAATAATTTAATTTGCTATAACTAGTATTGAATAAGATATTTTATTTATTATTCTTCTTCAGGATTTGCTTTATAATGAAGCCTCCTTGGTTGATTTCTCGTAATGTTCATTGTGATGCGCTAAATATTACATCACGATTAACAATCATCTTTCTATATTTATTGCAACGGTTGCACGTCATGTTACACATGTAGATCATTACATCATTTCTATTTTTAACTTATTTTATGACATAATTATTTACTTCGAATTATTAATCAAATTATTTGTAATAATGACTCATAGGATTAGTAATTATGAGTCAGAGCATTAGTAATTAGCAATTAGTAAGCTAGTAATACAGAAAATAGGATTAATAAGCATATTTTATTGGATAAAATATTGTAAAGGTCATGTTATTTGTAATACCTCAAGAGGTATAAAAAGGCTTGGTTTTAGACCAAGTGAAAAAAGAGAATGTTAATAACATTAATAATAATTGAATAAATAATTCCCCCCCATTGTTAATAATTAAATAAACACATTTTACCTTATTACGAATTTTTGCATAGTTAATAGGAAGCCATTGTAAATTGTTCCATGGTCCTCTCTGATGATTAGTGGCTAGCCACTAATCATTAGTTAGGAACCCCCCCCGTTTGATTGTTCTATGCTGCTTGTAGGGACGCCTCAAGTGGTATAGTTGTAAATATTTCTTTGTATATTCTTTTTATTTTATTTTATTTATCATTTTTAGGCCAGCAGTACTTCCATTAGTACTGTAGAGAGAGATTGCGCAAGAGAGAGAGAGATTTTAGGCTCTGAGCTGTGTGCCAATACAGAGACCTGAAATAGAGTTTTGAGTAGGCTCTGAGCTGTGTGCCGATACAGAGGCCTGGTATAGACTTGAGAACCCTGAGCTGTGTGCCGATACAGGGAGATTTATATATTGGACTTTTATTTTATTTTATATATTTTATTGGACACAACCCGAGCTGTAATTGAACTTACACGCTCGCAGTATCCTCAGAGAAATCTTGGTCGGATTAGCCTTGTAAACATGAGGAATGTGTGAGAATGACTGTGTTAAAGTAGTGTGTGTGCCTTGACATCTGCTAATTTCCAATAATTAAATGTCACATATTGAAATGTTTCACTTCCTTGTATCACCTTGACATCTTAATATTAAGGGTAGGGGGAATCACGTGTCAATTTATTTGTAGATCGGCGGCTCAAAAATTTGAATTATAGAAGTTGCATAATAAAAGTTATGCAAAACACGTCCAAATTGGTTCAAAATTTTTCCATATGTAGATTATAAACCCCTTTAATTTCTTATAAAATTTTAAACAAAATAATTTAGTAAGTACTTTTAATTTCTTCAAAAAACCATACTAATCCCATAGTAACCAATACTAATCCCTTAGTAAAAGGTATTATTTCTTTCATATATGCTATTCACTCCAAATTATTACTAGTCTAAAGTTACTTACTACTTAGTAATGTTTCATTTACTTAGTAAAAGCTGCCTATTTCTTAGTATTAATTGGAGGAGTCTAAACATTACTTGGAATTTTTCTAATTTCTTTATGTTTTATATGTAAAAGAATATAGTGATAGTAAAGTTATCATGTAATAAAATTTTATTTATTCAGCATTTGAAAACCTTTATATAAATAATTATAAATTGTTCTTTCAAAAAAATCAAACTTTTTATTTATGATGATTCGTATCAATTGAATGCAATGGAAGTACATCATACATATTATGGCTAAAACTCTTAAAGACACAGATCCTAATTATTCAATCTTAGCAAAAGGACAAATTCATTAGATTATCTATTAATGTAAAAAATGGAACATGAATTACTAATTATCACTAGTTGAATTTATTGAATAATGTATCTTATTTTAATTGTAATTTTAGCAACCTTAATTGATTTTATTTATGATAATATATGCAAACATACATATGTATATAAAAAAAAAATCAATAACCAAAAACCCTCAATTTGTTGAAAAAAAAAAAAATATATGAATTTGCTAACAATATTTTAGTAGAAGTAAATATAATCAGTATAGTTGTTCAAATTAAAAATAAATAATCTACCTAATTTCTTACACTTATTTTTTTTTTTTTTTGATTTAGATCTAGTCTTTATACTAGATTTAACAACACCTTCTTTCTTTTTACCATATATAAATTTTATTAATAAAATAAATAATTTGTAAAAACAAATTTCAAATTAAAATTAAATTTTATTACTGCTTTTGTTCAGCATTATTATTATTATTATTTTCTTCATCGACATCATTAGCAGGATGTTTTCTGTTATTTGTAATCATGATTATAGCTATCTTTATTACCACCTATTGTGTAAATTTCTTACACCTATTTTTTTGATAGATCTAGTCTTTATACTAGATTTAACAACACCTTCTTTCTACTATTTACCATATATAAATTTTATTAATAAAATAAATAATTTGTAAAACAAATTTCAAAATTATAAGTTAAAATTTTATTACTGTGTTTTTGTTCAGCATTATTATTATTAACATTTTCTTCATCAACACAGCATCATCATTAGCAGGATGTTTTTGTTATTTGTAATCATGACAAGATTATAGCTATCTTTATTGTGTAAAAAAATTAGTGATATATACAATAATTTTCAAATGCAAATATTTATAATAATAAAAGAATAAATATTATATTATTTTCTTACTGTTGATAATATGGAATTTCAGCATTATTTTTCATAGAAAGTGGTATCTACACTCCCTAATGGATTACCTTTTATCATTTAAAAGTTCTCAAGCTCTTTTGATATCAAACTTGAATTATCAAGCAAATCAGAATGTAAAAAAATTAAAAAAGAAGCTAGAAATACACATTGTGAATAAGTTAGATTATGATAAAATATATCAACAAATAATCTGGAAAATTGGAAATGCTGTTAATAAATCATTTAAAGACAATAATTTATGTTTAACAATATTTATTATGTCCATAGAAAATTAATTGAAATTAATGCTAACATCCACTTGCAAGCATTGTGGAAATTTGGATATATACTCAAAAGAATGGAGAATTAAAGTCTGGAGCCTTTATTTAATAATAATAAAAATAGTACTATATAGGAGCCTTTGTAATATTAATATTGAATTATGTTATTTATTATTGTTATGATGATTGACATTATTTTTTTTTTGAGCCTTTGTTTACTATTAAATATACCACTTGATCTTCTCTATGATATTTTTCTCAAGAATAGTCTATAGGTGATCTTGAAATCATGTGATGTCTACATACATGTCTGGTTTTAACACTGCCATGGTAAGTTAAAATTTTCAGTTTGTGCTTTTTTGATTTTTGTACTTATTAAATAAACATCTTGTTTATCTATAGGTTTAGATGTCCAGGTATGGGGCATGGATTTACCTGCTTCTAAAGTATATAGAATGTTTCTTATTGGAACTTTCCAATTTCCAATCAATTGGGATGAACATTATAAACTTGTGCCAGCATTGAAAATTTTGTGGAATTTGGGAGTAAGTAAAGTTTAATTCTCATTTATTTGTATTATACATCTCATTTTGTTTATTATCATTTTTGCACAGATTGGTTTAGATAATACATTTGAAGTATTAAATAAACATCTTGTTTATCTATAGGTTTAGATGTCCAGGTATGGGGCATGGATTTACCTGCTTCTAAAGTATATAGAATGTTTCTTATTGGAACTTTCCAATTTCCAATCAATTGGGATGAACATTATAAACTTGTGCCAGCATTGAAAATTTTGTGGAATTTGGGAGTAAGTAAAGTTTAATTCTCATTTATTTGTATTATACATCTCATTTTGTTTATTATCATTTTTGCACAGATTGGTTTAGATAATACATTTGAAGTACTTGAAAATTTAAAAAGTCACACTGCAAAAATATAACCATCAATAAGCAATTTTCAGCACTTGAAAATATTATAAGTAATGGGAAGATTCACCACCAAAACCAATTGGAAAAGAATCACGAATCGTAAATCCAATGTTTCATGATAAGAACTACAATCATTAGTTTTATTCTATATTCTTTCACATCATTCTTTTATGAGTTGAATTGACATCATTAACACTAAAAATGGATACATTATAAGGAAATGAAATCCAAAGTATTAGTAACCAGATAAAGAAAAAAGTAATATTATGTATTGGCTAAAATAACTTATTGTACCACTGCTCACATGACTTTGTGACAAGCTGTCAGTTTATAAAATTCAGGTTTGATCAAGTCCTAGATTCATAAGTCCAAACATTGATATATAAATTTTATTAAAGTTTGCCCCAGCATATTTTTCCCTTTAAATTTCCATTACTCCAATATTATATATGCATATAAAAAAATAATAGATATATCTATTATGATTTGATTTTTTAAAAGTGTTCACTCATAGTTTAATGATTAACATTACCTTATTGTTATGAAAAAACCATTGTCTGAAATTTATACAATGTACGATCAATGTTGGTCTATTTATTTTATTTATATACAATATTTGTTCTCAAAATTAATCTGTTTGGTATTTTTTTTGCATTATATGAAAGAAAAATTTAATGGTTATTCCATCTAGGGAATGTAGTTGTTAGGTGTGCCTAGATATGGGCACTGCAATTAAAATGCTGCGACTCTTGATGTTGCAATTATCTGCAATCCTTTTTATGAGCTAAAATTAAAATTTATCTAAATAAAGTTATTTCTGGAGTTATATTTTTGTTCTTATAGACAATGTTGGCAACTGTAAAATTATATTACTTTTTTGTCATATTAAAGTGTAGAGTTTCTATTCACAATACAAATTCTTATTTGTTTTATTCATTTTACTATTCGCTTTGTTCGTTTTACTATTTGCTTTATTTGTTTTATTTGAATTATTCAAATAGAAACCCTATTTAAAGGCTAGTGCCGTAATTCAAAAAAGGAAAAGTATGGTTGCAAAAGTGGTCACAAAGGTAATTGCAACCATTTTTTATATGCCGTAAATGCAATTACTACCATCATCATAATTTACAGCACTAGTCTTTAACCCTATTAGTATGACATTAAAAGAAATTTAGGAATCTGGTTGTAAGAAAACTTCTTTTCCTTACATTAATTCAGAAGACAATAAATAATAAATTGATTCTCAAAAAATTAGTGTCACAATAGAAAATTAATTGTTTGCAAAGATTTGGTATCTGCTAATTTAAAAATGTAAGGAGCAATTTTTTCACCTTGTTCCTTTTTTAGAATAC